TAAAATTATGTAGAAACTTTCCAAATATATATACATATGAACATGTACTTTCATAATAACAATGTGGATTATGTTCGCAATAATGTGATATAAATCGATATGTATGACGATAGAACGAGACCCACGTGTGGGTAATTAAGCGAGAGTATGGCTGTCTAAAAAAAATCAGGGTGCGTACACTGTCATTAGTCTATGTGAAATATAGTTTATTCACCTTGTCACGTTTTTATGTCTGGAGGTTCTTTTGGTCTGAAGGTTCAGTTTATACCAGAAGAATTGTTGGGTTTCTTTTCATGTTTTCATGTTTATGTTTTTGATCGATAAATACCGTTTCGTATACCATCTGCTAAAGTGACTGAATGTCCATCTGGCTCTTCTGTGGGACCTTTTGAATCCTCTGCAAATACCAAACGCAGAAATTTTATTTTAGAATTCCAAAAACTTTCACTTACCACGAGATGGCAGTGCAAGTCAAACCACTGAAGAAAAATGTAAGATTTTATCACTTCACTGTTGCTCACTGTACGCGGCCTCCTCTCCCTCTTCTTTCTGGCTACTAATTATGTCAGTATTATATTTTACATCAGTGATGCTGTTGTGGCAGCAGTTTAATGCAAAGAAATCACAACGTATACATAAATTATCCTCAAAATATGAACAACCTTGAAGATGAACTACTTTTCATTAAGCCCAACTTTTCACAATAAATAAAATGTGCAAAAGTCGATATAACATTAAATAAAATAATCTATACTTCGTTCATATTTATGAAACTGAGAAGAAAGCACCCATAACACAGCTGGTGTTCCCTGATGTGTTCCTCTTTTACTTTTGCTTTCTCGTGGTTTCAAATTTGTGCCTCTGCAAAACTTTAAAGACTACTGTTCTGCTGAGCTCCTGAGAAACAAAACTTACTTTTTAAATCCAACATTTAAAAAAGATCTATACTGTTTCTAGAAAACACGTTGTCTACCCTTTCTTATAGTCATTTAGTATTTAAGACATCACTTCGAAATGGTCCTTTCAAAAATAAATCTCTTTAATGATTAGGGATTATTACAGGCGGGAAGCAACAGTTTAACCATCAGAAAAAACACAAAACAAAATTAAGTGAAAGGTTCAGATATATTGACGTTTTTGGTACAATATAGATATTGCTTATCCATGTGTGTGACGTCAGTCGCATAAGGAAAACGTGAAGTGCTAAAACAAGTCCCCACAACAAAATGATTACTAAAGAAATTGAAAGGTCAAAGTTCATTGGAAAGAAAGATGTGCTTCATAAGCTGCCGTATAAGGAAATGTTATGTTAGAATCACTCCGCCAAGAGCTTAACTTAAATGAAGTGGATTTGTGGGTTTTATTTTAGGAACCACTTTGCCTCTTCTTGTCACATTACACATGGTTTTACGTCCTGATAGACGCTTTGATGATGATGATGATGATGATGATGGAGCTGATGATAATAAGATCCACTGGTGTTGGGATGAAGGTTTAAAACGAATTCCTTCCTGTCACACACGGGAGCTGAGTGGCTGGAATATCGAGACAATCCCACTGTAAACAAACAGGATACAAGAGGTCAAGTAGTCATTTCTTTGGTCAAGCTGTAGATTTTTAGAAGCACGCAACCAAAAAAGGAAAGAAAGAAAAAGGGCCACAACTTTAGAGCATTTCCTTTTAGACAATTTTAGACCTAAAATTGGTTGGCGCTACTTTTGAACAACATTTATTTATTTCTGTCTTTCTTTTTATCTTTTTTCTTTTAAAGTTGTCATATTTTCCATAGCTGCCTTTATCCAAAGGATATAAGAGCAGTTCATGTTTACACTGTTAGGCAGTTGATGATGCAAATTATATATATATATATATAT